TTTTCAATTATGCAGGGAGTCCATGTCCCTAACTGCTGTGTTGTTCAAAGGTCAACTGTAGTTAGATTTTAAATGTTGGCTAGCTAGAAGATGTACAGAGAAGGAATATGACTTGGATGTATGGGAATCAAGTGTAGGTGGTCTATGTTTGTCTGGATTCAAATATACGAGGATTATGAGGCACCCAAAGAACTCTGGGGGCTAAGGACGGCAGGAAGGCACTGCTGCTCAGGCATCTGAGGCAAAGGGTTTAGTGCATGGCGATAAATTTGGGCCTAGAGAATGTGAAACCTCAAAGGCAAATGAACCGAGATTAAGGGACTTAGAAGTTGGGAACAACTAGAACCCTCTGATGTCAAGGGATTAATTTGCAAGAGACTTGCAAAACAACATACAGGTTTATCGATCATAGCATCCTGCATCAAGGACCTGGGGACTTTCCACAGAGGAATGCAGAGCAACTCAGGGTTAAAAGTTATATGTAACAGTAAAGTCCTTTCCCTTCTAAACTGCTCAAGGGAAAAGAAAAAGAAGGAGAAGGAGGAGAAAAAGAAGAAGGAGAAAAAGAAGAAAAAGGAGGAGGAGGAGAAATCTGAAGCCCTAAAAAACCAGCCTCTTAGGTATCTCAGTAGAAAGATGGAAAACAAGATAAGAAGCATTTTTTTTTTACTTGTGAAATACATGCAGGGCACTCTTGTCCCCTCAGGGAGAGAAAGGAGAAAGAGTTTCTTTAGTACAGGCATTCGGGGGAAAGAGGAGACTTGAATGAAAAGAAAAAAATTCTACTTCAGATCCTGGACATGACCCCAGACCCCAAAGAGAGGAGGGAGGCCAGGAGCTGCCCGAGTGAAAGTTGACCCAGTCTCAAGGACAGGGAGATAGATCCTGAGAGAAAACCCAGAGTAAGGGAGCAAGAAGCACAAATGGGGGACCCCAGAACACCTGATACTCCTTCAGTGCCACTGGGACCACTTTGTTTACAACTAGAAACTCAGGAAGTAGCCAAGAGATATAGCTAAATGATAAAACAGTAAGCTGCAGAAATCACCTATCCATATGTATATGCTGAGACACATACATGTCTATTTGCCCAGACATGGAGGGATGCATTTTATTTAGAACTGGATGGATACCTATCCACAGTTAGCACGGTTACTGGGCACGGGAGAGGGGTGTTGATAAGGGGAAGCTCTCACAGTCGGCTCCCTTTATATATTCCTTGAATCTTTTCCCTAGAGAATATAGTCATTTATTTACAAAGTAGTAAAAAGGGAAAGAAAGAAAAGAGAAACACTCAAAGCACATCCTAGAAGAAGGCACCAAAACCAAGTTTCAACACCTCTTATTCCCCTCCTTCCTAATTCCTTCCTCCCACTAATATGCTTGCTCTGGAGAAGGGAGAAGGCTTTCCATTTAATTAAAATGTAAAATACATTCTTTTTTTTACTGCCTGGTGGCTAGGGATATTCTGCTGACTCAGCAGTGAATAATCAGCTTTGACCTACATAATAGAATAACTCAAAGTGGCAGCTGCAGTTGCATAAGCAGATCCAAATCTGCAGTTCCTTCTCCCTCCCCCCAAGGCTCCTTGCAGGCAAGCCAATTCCAGCAGGTTCTCTCCACCTCTCCAACCCCCATCCGGCTGTCCCACCACCATTTTTCATCCAATGTATTCTGGCCCCACCAAAGAACCACACTTGACCTGATCTCCCTCCCACAGCCAGTGCCAGGCAGGGGCTTTGCCACATGGATCTCCCTGCTGGGTTCCCCACTTTGTCTTCTAGCTCTCTCCAGAACACACCAGTGACCTCTCCACAGAGGGTGGCCTTTCCCTCAAAAACTCTCATCCTACAGTAGGTCAGCCTGCCCTTGGCATGCCAGGATGATCCAGCAGAAAACAGAGCCTCTGGTTAAAATACACTCAGAAGAGCCCAAGCTCTCCACTGGTTCTCTCAAAAATATAGCTGGACTGGGCCACACTTGGCTCTCCTGCCAAAGAGCACCAGGCCTATTTTCACACAGCCGGCTGGCCTGGCACTGGCTAAGAGGACAGGGAGCCTGGGAAAAAAAAGGTAAGAGCATTTAAGGAAAGCCTTCCTGAACGTTTGGTTCCTATCTCACCGGATACCTTTTTTTTTTTTTTTTAAGATTTTTATTTATTTATCTGAGAGTGAGAGAGACAGAGCATGAGTGGGGGAAGGAGGCTGTCAAGGAGAGGCAGAGGGAGAAGCAGACTCCCTGAGCAGGGAGCCCTATGAGGGGCTCCATCCCAGGCCCCTGGGATCATGACCTGAGTCAAAGGCAGATGCTTAACCAACTGAGCCACCCAGGCACCCCTTCACTGGATACTTAAGAGATGATCTGAGGGGCCTGTGAAAGTGGGTTCCAGAAAAAAAAGTATTCAACAAACCAGAAAACAGAACCTTTCTTTGCACAGACTTGAAGCAGCTGGGAGTGTTTGGTGAGAAAATGTGAGTGTGTGGCTACATCTGCTCACACACCCCTGCAGGGAGAGGGGTCCTGGGCTCCACATGGCCTTCCCATCTGGGAGGAAGGGGGTGGCACAGGATTAAAGTGAGGACCTGTTTTCCATTTCCCCCAAAAGGAATAAGGAAAAATAAGTTCAGGTTTAAGAAAATTTTCCTCCTTACAAAGGTGAAAAAGTACTTGAATACCTATCTCAAGGACACTGAAAAACTCCTGTCTCTGGAGGACAGGACTGACCAATGTTAAGTTCAAGATAATCTCCTTGCAGTTCTCTTTAGGAGGCAGAGGACAAACCAGATAAGCTTTACTGAACCTTGGATGGCAGAAATTGGGAGAGGAGGGGACTTTGTCATGTGGTCTTCAGAATTTTTAATTCTAATTCCTCCTTCCCTCTGTGCTAGCAGTGTCAAAGTGAGAGGTGGGCTGTGGAGGGGACGGCATGCAACCTGTCTTTCTGGAGAGGCAGACAGTCCTAATTTCCTGTCCTGAGGGGACATCTGTGGGGCTGTATTACTGCAGAGGGTCTTTGCACAGGGGTCACCTACCCTTGGCAGGTTGGGGGTAGGCAAAGGAAGTTGTAGGGTCAGCAGTCCAGGGAACTCTATCCTATGGCCTGCTTTCTCTCCTTGGTGACCAGTGTGAGGGTTCTCAATTTCTCATGGGAGAGTAAGGGCGGCTTCTTGTCTGAGACACTTCAGCAGTATCAGCAGGAAAAAGGAAGCAAGTCTGCATGCACGAGACACTGAAATAACAGTGGCCAGCACTTATGGGGTCCCTCTTCCCACGCCCATTAACCTGGCTGATGGCAGAAACAGCAACTCTTCCTGCATTCCCATGCCCCTCCCCACACCTCTCCCTCCCAGCTCTGGATCCAGCTAGCAAGCAAGGACTGAGTGACTACCCTCAGGGACCACCCTCAGTGACTACATGACCCTGTGCTAAGAACATGTGTTGTCTCATGCAATCCTTGCAACCATGACCTCCTGTGCAGGCAGGATTACAACCCCCTCTCACAGTGGGGTGGGGTGTGGAACTTTAACAAGCCTTTGCCACAATTAGAAAATGGTGCAGAGAGATACAGCCTCAAGCAACCTGGTTCTGGAGCCCACATTCCTTTGCCTCCAGGGCCATAAGCAGACCTGACCGAGCATAAGGAATACAGTCCAAACAAGTATCTTGGCCCCAGAGTACCACCTGTCTGGATGGTAGGGGTTTAGCCCAGGGCTGAATATCACTGCCAAAGAGGGCACACTTGCCAAGGAGACCACTCCTTGGATCCCAGCTGGCTGCCCTGTGAGAGACTTTGGGGTGGGCAAGTGATGCCTCCCTCCCTTTCCCACCAGCACGATAGAAGGAAAGTGTCAAGACCTGGGAAAGGCTGTGGCCGGGATGGTCACTGCTCTCAGCTAAGTGTATGTGTGTTGAAAAGTATGGTAGGGCAGGGATCATGTTAACTCCAAAAGTGGAGCCTTTGAAAAAAATCCAAATATTTACTTTGGAAATTAGTTTTGTGGGGGGCACCTGGAGGGCTCAGGTGATGGTCTTGATTTCAGCTTGATTTCACCTTGATTTCAGCTCAGGTCATGATCTCAGAGCCCTGGGATCCAGCCCCTCATCAGGCTCCCTGCTCAGGAGGGAGCCTGCTTGTCTCCCTTTCCCTCTGCCCCTCCCCCTCAAAATAAAGAAATAAATCTTAAAAAAAAATTAGTTTTTGGTTTAAAGATATAAAACACCCCAACCCATTGAGATCCCTGAGAATTCCTTAAAGTACAAGTTGCAGAACTTCTCTACAATAAATCTCTAACTATTCCAGCTCACACACATCTTTCCCCCTTCTCTGAATTTTTACTGCAATTAACTCTTCACCACAGAACCTGTGTATATAGCTTTTCTCCCCTGTTAGGCAGGAAACATATCAAGGGTGTGGGGAACCACAGAAAATGCATTTATGTTCTCCCAACTCACATGTTTACACTCTCCTCCCAAAGAGTTTTAAGATGTGATCTGGCAGGTTGAGGAGGAGGTGGATGAAGCCAGAAAAATCTTCCTGCAAGCAGCAGGAAGCTCCAGCATAGTGTACGGCATACGTACGTGCTGGAAAGAGAAGGAGTCAGGAGACCCGGCTCCACTCAGGGCCTGCCACCTTGGGTATGTCACTTGCCTGGCTCCTTTCCTTATCTGCTTTAGGAAAGTGATAATCCAGGCCCTGCTTACCTCATGGATTTGTCATGAGGCTCAGATCAGATAATATAGATGAAAGTGCTGTGAAAATTACTGTGCCTCTGAGTAGCTACCAGCATTTCTTCTTCTCTCTCTCTCTTTTTTTTTTTTTTTTTTGAAAACCAGCTCATTATTCAGAATCAATTCATCCAAAGCACCCATGTAGGAAAAGCAATGGGGGGAAATAATAAAGGAGGGAAGGAAAGAGGGAGAGGCAGGAGAACCGGAGGCATGCGGACCGCCAGGAAGGCCAAAAGAGGCCATCCTGAGAGCAAGGCCCAGATGGCACTTACATAAGCAGATGGCAGCCAGGAGTCGAAGGCCAGACTCCGGGGGGAAGCAGGTGGGGAAGAGCGGCTGCAGCACATAGTTGGAGAAGGTGAGGGCGATAACAGCCTGGTTGGTGGGGTAGATCACCAGCACTGCAATCCATAGTCTCAGGAACCTGAAGAGGGAACAGGACAGAACTTGACCCAAGACAGCTGCAGGGACCCCCACCCCCACCAACATGCATGGCAGGGATTCACGAATCATGGGGGGAAGGCTGGGCATGTCGCTAGGCAGCATTAAGAGAGGTGGGTGGGCTAACAGGGTGCATCTCCTTTTTGTTTTCTGGGATGCTGAGGAGCCCAGTCCCTGCTCAACCAGACGGCCAGCCCTCCGCAATGACAATAAAGTGGTTTGACGACGAGGGGTGAAGAGTCTGCTAGCATAAACATACGTCTTGGCTTCGCTTCTCTCTCCCCTGTCCTCCTACTGTCTCTTCTCTATGCTCTGGGCCCCAGCATCCAGTGGTGGAAAATAAAATTGGCAACCCCAGAATTCTGACAGCCAGGACATGCTTAGGGTGTGGCCGCTTAAGCAACTGCCAGGGGTGGCACTGAGCGGGGTCATGAGAGGGAAGTGCGCTCCACACCCTTGGCCCCTTGGTGAGTGCTCAGCTCCGCAGTAGCAGGGCCACAGATGCTGAGGAAACTCAAGCTCAGGGCCTGGCCCTTCAGGAAGCCATCATCCTTGGTTGTGTGAGAAGGGGGTACCCCATATCTTAGGTGGTCACTCTAATTTGTCAAGATAAGACGGCTTTGTTTTGTGATGTGCTTTCCCTGAGAGTCTATAGTCAGAGTTGTCATAAAGTTCTATTTGCTGTCACCCATAGAATCTTGCCTGCTGAGGTCAACAGAAAGGTCAAAACTAGAACCTGGTTCTTCTGCCACCTCAGGAGAATCGAGGGGACACATAGCTACACTACACGACCATGACAGGGAGGCAAAAGAGGAATCCAAAAGAGGAATCCTTGGCACACTGGCAACCACTGGCCTCGGCTTCTAGACCACCCAGGCCTCCACAGATCCTCTTACCCAGCCAGTCCTCCAAAGATGTCCTTGACGTAGGAGTAATCACCTCCAGATTTGGGGATGGTGACCCCAAGCTCAGCATAGCACAGGGCTCCCACAGCGGTGATGAGACCAGTCACAATCCAGACAATGAGAGCGAGACCCACAGAGCCAGCGTTCTCCAGCACACCTTTCGGCGAGACGAAGATTCCAGAGCCAATGATGTTCCCTGTATGAGGCACCAAAGTTGCCAGGAGAGACAGTGGAGTCAGCACAACTGATAGGACTGGCATTCGCAGGAGTGGTCTCATCTCTGGTTTGATTCTAAAATGCTTTTGGAATGCATAAATCACCTTCAGGCAGGTGTGTCTAGTAGTAATTTACATGTCTCCTTTAGTCCTCAGTATAGAGTCAGATATCATTTCTCCCATTTTACAGAGGAGGAAACTGAGTCTTAGTGATACTAGTGCACTGCCTGAGTCCACATGGTAGTAAGTGGTGGGTTGGGTATTGAACCTCAAGATCCTCTTACTGAACTGTACCATGGTCCACCCGAGGTAACAAAGGTCTTAAGACTAACAAAATGGCAAGACTGGAAAAGCAGGCTGTTCTCAGAGACAGTCTGCAGAGTAGAAAGCTTCAAAAGTGAGCCTAAGGGCAATACATTTCAGACAGACTGTGGTCATACCCCGTGACTGGGGGTTTTCAAGACTTATGAGCCTCGACAGCACTCCTGGAGACTGGCTTTCACCCCAGACAGGACAGCCCCACTCTTGGTGAGGAACATGAAATAACCCTATAAAAACAATCCTAAAAATAGTCCTAGTCCTACAAAGTGGTTCATAGAAATGCAATATGTGCAAGGGTTTAGCACTACATTCTTAATTCATTGTTTCACGTGACCCTCACAACAACCTTCTGAAGTACAGAAAGAGGAGGAAGAACAGCTATTCCTCTATTTTGCAAAGAGGCTAAGACACAGAGGGGTTAATTGCCTTTTCCAAATTCCACGGCTACTGATGGGTAAAATTGGATCTAGAAGTTGGTCTCCTGATGCTTAATCCAGTGCGCTTTCCACTAATCTATTTCTGCTTCTGTGTGCAAGGGGCTGACTTTCTCCTGAGAGATGAGGCTGGCAGCAAAGACTGAATGGTTGGCTTTTGGGATGCGTGTGCTGGGTAGGGGAGGAGTAAGAGGGTGGGAGCAGCTCCTGACAATTTCTTCCCAAGCTTCCCTCTACTTCTTGTGATTCAAGGTGGTGATCAGGGTGCACTGCACAAGTGCTTTGAAAACTCTCTCTCTGAGCCCCACCCAGCTGTACTACTGAAAGTCTGAAGGAAGAAGCAGAGACCAAGTGGATCCAGGCAGAAATGGAGAACAGGAGTATTATGAGGCCAGCTTGGTTTGACAGTGTTCTGAGGACATCTCATATTCCTACCACTTCTCTTAAGGGGTTCAGATCTGGGCTGAGCAAGATGCAGAGTATAGGATTTTACACTCAACTTGCAAAAATGACTTTCAGATCTCAAACATAACTCAACCTCAATCCAGTCCTGAAACTTTTCGCTTCTAAATAAAAATTCAGTTTTTAATCCCAGGCCGTGCATCAGTTATTTCAGTCAAAGGGGACAAGAAGAGAATACTCACTTTCTAAAAGCAATACATTTTATTCCACTGGGATAGCTTTTCACACTAAAAAACTGTAGTGTGAGATGAATGGGAAAGGGAAGGGGTCTAGGCAGGTGGAAGAGCAGTAACTGTGAGATGGACATATAGGATCTGCAGCTAGATGCAGCTGGAAGGGAAGCACATTTGTCTCAAACTTGCCTTTCTTCTTCTTTTTTAAGATGTTATTTATTTATTCATTCATTCATTTATTTATTTATTTGTCAGAGAGAGAGAGAGAGAATGTGCACACAAGCAGGTAAAGTGGCAGGCAGAGGAAGAGAGAGAAGTGGGCTCCCTGCCAAGCAAAGAGCCTGATGCGGGCCTCAATCCCAGGACTCTGGGCTCATGACCTGAGCTGAAGGCAGTGGCTTAACCGACTGAGCCACCCAGGCATCCCTCAAACTTGCCTTCCTTCTCTGCAGATAGTCCAACCCAACGGAACTGGGCCACATATAGAGATGACGCTAAAAGAAGAAACAATACCTCATGTTCAACTTTGTGATCTAAACATGAGGCAAAGAGAGATAGAAAAATGAGATTCTGGGCTCCACAGGTTCTTAAAGGCTTTTCATTTTCTCATACATTTATTTTAAGTCCTATGATAGGAACAAGAGATACCTTTCAGTGCCCCCTCTCCTCCACCAGTCTCCAAGTGTGCTTTGCATGAAGACTGGGCTAGTGGAGACTTGGAGGCCTTCTAATAGTGTGCCAGGACTCAGGACACAGTTACCCTGGCAGGTGACCCTTAATCTGCCAAGCGAAATGTGCTGCTGCCCTCTGGAAGATACCAAGTGCCAGAAGCTGAGAACTGGAGACGGAGTTGCTAACAGGGCAAAGGTGATAGCAAACTCCTTGTCTAGCAGGAATTTACCAGAAGAGTAATTTGTAGGGCACTTCAAAGGCAGCCATGAAGAGAGTAACACACCTAGATTATAAAACTAGTTCAAGGGGTTAGAAAAACAATCAATACAGGAGAAAAACAAGGTTTGACTTTGGTCTGCAAGATACTGAAAAGGGAGGTGATGGGGGAAGAGGTAGGTGTTTCTCAGAGCCAGGAATGGCTGTCACAGGGAGGAAGTAGTGGTGAATGTTATTGAAGAGATCCTGTCTTCTCAGGAATGAAGTGTCAATGTTCCACTAAGGATTCTCAGAAAACAAATACCACAGTGGGGCTCAGGAAGCACTTCTGTTCTCCAGCTTTTGTTCTGGCATTTCCAGAGTGTGTGCTTCTTTCCTCATTCCAGATGGAGGCAGCCACTGGAAGATGGGATGTGCAACACCAACAGCCATTTACACGGTCTGATCACTTCCTGCCTCCCCTTATTCTAGATATGTCCTTCCATGGGGCTGTTGGAGTGATGGTGAGGTTTGTAATAAGTTGACATTAGGACAAGAATCTTCATTTTACAAAAATTGAATTCTGCCCCTTGCCCTACAATCTTAATTTCGGCCAAATTAAAATTACAAAGATAAAAACTTTAAAAAAAAAAGGGGGGGGGGAATTATGCTATAGCCAAAACGGAGTGCTAGAGAACAGGAAGGATAGGAATGTCTCTCTTTGATTCTAGGAAACTGCTACCTAGAAAACCAGAATCAAATAACATTTCCTCCACCTGAGCAGCCTCTGGAGCTTCTGGAGGGGGAAGAATGTCAGACATAGCTGAAAGAACATTCACATTACATTTACTCAAAAGTAATGCCTACTATATACAATCTTAGTGTGATTATTTGATTAATATTTCTCTCTCCCACTGGACTATAAGACTCATGACAGCAGGGACTCTATGATTTCCCTTCACCTATAAAGTGTCACACAGTAGACACTCCATATATGTTTACTGAATGGTGTCAGACTTCCATCTAGAACTTAGCTCCACAGAGCACTATATGTGTTTCTTTGGAATCTCCAAATACTGTGAAGTATGTCAAGTGTGTATTGCAAGCCAGTGAATAAAGCAACCTACTTATTTCACTGCTGAAGGGTGATCCGGCTATTATTACCATCTCCAATTTTTTTAAAGTTTTAATCTATTTGAGAGAGAGAGAGAGAGAGAGAGAATATGAGCAGGGGGTAGGTAGGGAGGAGCAGCGGGACAAACAGATTCCCTGGGGAGCAGGGAGCCCAAAGCAAGGCTTGATCTCAGGACCCTGAAATCATGACTTGAGCCAAAGTCAGACGCGTAACCGACTGAGCCATCCAGGTGCCCCTACCATCTCCAATTTATAGGGGAGGAAAATAGGGCAACTATTACTTCAATTTTCCAAATGGGAAAAAATGAGGGAGGTATTACCATCCCTATTTTATGGATGAAGAAACTGAGATACAAAGAAGTTGTTATTTTCCTAAACCACAGAGTAAGTTAGTAGTAACTGGATTAGAACCTAAATCTTCTATCGTAGCCTCAAGCTTTTCCCAGGGAATAGTCAGTTTTACCAAGATGATGCTTATTATGAGAAGATGCTTATTAAGATACTGGAACACATATCCGATTCCTTTCTTCTACCGCACCATGTTCGATGGTGATTTACAAAGTGTTCTCATTTGTTACTTTATTTGATTTTTGGAACTACTTTCCTAGGTGCACAGGGTGGATATCATCATTCCTATTTACTTTTGCTAAGACTGAGTTTTAGAGAGGAGAGGAGACTTGACCAAAGTCTCACAAAGCATAGGCAGCAAGGCCTGGACTAGAGGCCAAGGCCTTGGACTTCCAGCCTGGGTTTCCTCCACTACTCCACATGGCCTCTCCTCTAGAAATTGCATAATAGGACTTTTACACTTGGACCCTGTCCAAATGAGGTTTTTCTGGAGTGGCTCTGAAAAAGGAGAAGTGGGAAATGTCTTTTCTATTTTGACTATGAAGCTTTCCTGAGAGGCTGGAAGAAAGTTGATTACTGTGGAGATGTGTTTCTCCATTGTTTTACTTTTAGACTCCTTGTCTATAAAACCATTCAAGAATGAGATGCCCATCCATCTAGTATAGCCGAGGTTTCAATCCTCCCTTTCATCCACCCCAATTAGTAAAATAATCATGTTATCACATAGATCTTCTTTGGTCAAAAGAGGTCCTAGGATGCCTGGACAATGAGGCCCAGCTTGGCTTCTTCTGTCAAAGAAAAGCTAAGCAAACCACTCCATTAAAAAAGAGGCCAAGTTGTATCTGTGGGCAAGTCTTCACTAGAGAAATGTTGGAATTAAGAAAATCCATGTTTGCCATGAATAACCACTGACTTCCCCACTTGTGGGCCAATACCCATGTGACTCCTATTAAGGCTTTACTCACATCCAGGCCTGTCCACACTAGAATGCTGCAGGCATCAAAGAATTTCCTAGGGCATGGATTTACAGACTTCTAATGCCCAAGAGACCCTCAGATACAAAAGGTTTTGGCCTTCCTTAATAACTCATGCTAGTCTTAGAGTCTAGTCAGAGCTCCTCCTATGGCTTGGAGGTTCTGTCCATTTCCATAATGTTCAGAGAAAGCCAAGGTGAACTTTCTTTCTTTTCTTTTCTTTTCTTTTTGTTTCCTTTTTAAGATTTTATCTATTTTATTTGAGAGA